TCATTGATTCTGGGAAGCGGATATTTATTCTTGATTGTCAACCGATTAAGATCCCGGTAGTCAATACACATACGCATAGATCCGTCCTTCTTCTTGACAAAGAGAACGGGTGCTCCCCAAGGTGAAACGCTCGGTCGAATAAAACCGAGATTTAGTAACTCTTGAATTTGGGTCTTTAATTCCTGCAATTCTTTAGGTGCCATTCTGTATGGCGCCTTAGAAACAGGTCCGGCTCCAGGGATAAGATCGATAGAAAATTCCACCTGTCGGCTAGGTGGACCGCCGGGTAGCTGATCTGGAAACACGCCCACGAACTCACGAACAATGGGAATGTCATGAGGTGACCGTGCTTTTGGCTCATCTCTGACGAGGCTCACAAGGTAACCCTGGCAATCACCCCGTCGAAGAATCCTCCTGGCTTTCGCCATAAAAATAATATGGGGCAGAGTACGAGTCCTGGAGCCGAAATAAGTGATCTGATCATTTCCCGGAAGATAAAGTGTAATCTCCCGGTCATGGCATCAAATATCTGCGTGAAAACATGTTAGTCAATTCATACCGAGTATGAGATCAAAATCCCTCATCTCGATAACATAAGCATCAGTAGTCAAAATACGGCCACCGATGGAAAGGCTGAGATTTGTGGCTCTAACATCAGTCACTATCTTTCGTCCCGAGGCTAAACTCACCTCGAGAGGATCGACAGTGGTAATAGAATGAACTCTTTTAGCTTCGAGACATCGGCGTGATATAAAAGAATGGGTTGCTCCAGTGTCAAATAAGGCGTAAACAGGCATATCATCAAGAACAATCATCCCAGACATGGTACTTGGGTGCTGGTCGGCCTCCCTCTGGTCAACTGCAAAGACACGGGCCTGTTGTCTGCCGTGTGGCTGTTGCTGGGGTCGTGGTGGCTGTTGCCTGGGCTGCTGTTGTTGAGGTTGTCGTTGTTGCGGTTGTTGTTGCAGTCGTTCTGGGCAGTTGGGGATGATATGGCCGGGTTGGCGACAAAAGAAACAAATGTTCTGGCCCACAAGACATTCTTCACGGTGACGTCGTCCACATGTGGGGCAAGCTGGTATCGATGGCTGCTGCCTCTGGCAGTTCCTGCGATCATCTGGACCCCCTTTAAGCTTCCTTTTGTTCTTGTTCTTTGGTTGTTGGGCAAAGTTGGGCTGGGCAGGTGGTTGAGCAACTGGCTGTGCTGGAGTCGGAATAGCTTCTCGTCGGATACTAGCATCCACTTCTTGAGCAATGGCGACTGTGCGGGCGTAGGTCTGGATGCCGTGACCTACGATGTTGTGACGGACTGCTGGGAGAAGTCCGTCGGTAAAATGATGAGCTCTCTTCGCCTCTGTACTTACTAGATCGGGAACAAAGGCCCTGAGTCGGGTAAACTCTCTCTCGTACTCGTCAACAGAACGAGTACCCTGTCTGAGCGCCAGGAACTGACGCTCCATCTCTGCTCAGTAATACGTGGGATAGTACTTCTCACGAATTAACTCCTTGCACCCATCCCAGGTACAACCGTCCTTTTCGCCGGAACGCATACTCCAGTAAGCATTCCACCAGAGTCGAGCATCACCAGTCAGCTGAAGCTGTGCGCATTAAACACGATAGCAGTCTGGACAGTCCATGACCTCGAAAATCATTTCAAGGCCTTGGACCCATTCATCCACGATACGAGGATCTCCCTGGCTGGAGAATTTTTCTGGGTGATAGTTGCGAAACTGTGCAACTACTGTGGCCTGGGGGACCTCCTGATGATCTGGTTCTCTACGAGGGGGCATCTGAGTATTGAAAAGATCAACATAATCAGACGCAAAGAATATTACATGAAAAAATACTTTTACTGATTATGAATGCGCATAAATCTCTTGACGAGTTGCTAAAATTAACTCGAGAAAACTAGGGTCGAATTATCGAATCACTGGGACAATCGATTATGTTCTGAAAATACTTTATCACTAACTCGAGTGTCTTAGTGGTTTCTAGGGTTAAATATCTGATACCCTCTACTGAGCTTAGACTTAAGCATTTGTTTAGATATATATAAGCTGTAACTCAGCACGTACCTGGTAGTCAGCGAGGCGTGAGCGTAGCGTGGTCGGTTTTTCTGAAAATTTCCTAACTTAATAAAGTATTCAGATACACAAAAAAACGTGCTCTGATACCATTTGTAACACCCCGCTAGCTTTTTAAAATCAGAGTTAAATTTTCGCAAATACTTTTCTAAAAATACGAATTAGTTTGCAAAATCATGACTCGGGATGCTACCGAAAAGTATTTCTTTTCTAAAACTCCGTTAACTTTACTAAATTAGAATTATTTAAAAAAAGCGGATTATCTTATCAAACCGGCATGTAATACTGTGTAGATCCAACCAGAAAGTGTGAATCAAAATCTGAAAACTAACATGTGAGTTTGAAAGTCTGAAAACGTCAGCGGAAGTAAAAACGTGGCAAATAATATACATATCATAAGTCTTCAAGAGTACGTGTATATATATATATATATATATATATACTGAATCATCGATCACCCGCTCCGCTCACTCCTCAGAACCGACCCTGTCACCTGAAAAAGGTAATATAGTGGGGCGTGAGCACTAAAGCCACTGTGCTCCGCAGGGACTCATACTAAAGTAAACATTAATAATAATAATATCAATATCATGATCGTAGGTATATATAAGTAACTGTAATCTCCCGACACGAGGTCGGTAACTGAACTGAATGTCTCGGACACTATGTCCGTACCATGTGCACACTCTGATGGACAATTAAGGCTACTGCGCCTCCACCAGAACTCGGGATGGCCTATTAAGGCAACTGGCCTCCACCCAAAGTGGATAACTCATATACATACCTTAAACATGGTAGAGTAATTATAATCAATGTAATACCCAGTCTGAGTTCCCACCTGAACTGCTAGTCTGAAAGTGTAAGTGCTGCTGCTAATCAATCTGTAACAATATATATAAATAAACAAACACTAAGTACTATGCTCAGATTGACTGAAAATAGCTGTTAAGATGCTCAACTCGATCTAAATACTCAACTGGAATAATCTCAGGATTTAACTTGACTGACAAGAAAACTGGATTGAACTGATACTGGTGTACTGATCTAACTGGACTGAAAATTAACTGAAATACTGTACTGAACTCGGACCGGGTCACTGAGTACCGAACTGCTCAAGTAACCGGTTTGAACCGGCCGATTCACTGACTGGCCGAACCGCCGGCTCACTGCGGCCGGGCGGTCGGCC